CCCCCCCCAGTGCCAGGGTATTTTTTGCGGCACGTCTTGAAAGCTGCAGTGGCGGCGCGTGTAAACGGCGGGGGTGGATGGGGTCCCGCCGTTGCTGAAGCGGGTGTTTGCAGGAATTCAGGTATTTGCTGCGATTCCCCAAGGAGAAGTGCGCTGCCAAGCTGTGCATGCCTTCAGCTACTCCTGGTGTATTTTAAGAAACACATGAAACTCTTGTGCTGGATGACTCATAGCATAGCAGTCCCATTAATGCATTAAACGCGAAATGCATATGCCAAAAAGGGATATCCCAGGGGCTGCATTTTCCTTTTTTTTTTTTTTCTCTTCAAAAATCTGCTTTTGTTCATGCCTGCAGATAGTTCCTGAGCAATTCACCTCGGCTCCCAAAGCAGGCTCATTCCTTTCGTCCCTCTCATGGATAAAACATGCCTGATTATCCATCAGAGTTGTTTTACTTTTCCTTTCCTGGATTTTTTTCGTCTAATTGGGGCATCACTGCAGGTTCAATTTAGCCGGCAGGATTTTGCATCATTAAACTGCTCATGCCTGACCCCACACGCTGCCTTGAAGATGCCACAACCTACAGATTCCCGAGGTTCATCCTTAAAACGCCCCCTCCTCATCCCACATCCTTAGAAGTTCTTTAAAATACTAGGAGCATTAATATCATGAATAAATAAGTAGTGGCCACGGTGGGTTCATCATTACCAAATTAGAGTTGTTCACTTTGTAGATCTTATGTACGTTAAGTTTTGGGTGTGAATTTCCAGAGCAGGTCCACACGCAGCACCCGCTCCCCACCAATCCCTCCCGGCACATGCGGCAGAGCCCGCGAGAAGGGAATCCCCATCTGCTGCTTTTTCTCTTTTTTTTCCTCTCATTTTGGCTGATTTGGAAAAAAAAAACTCAAAAAAAAAACCCACTACAGCAAAAGGATACCAAGGATGACTGTCCAATGAGCCTGCACAGCACGGCGATGCTCAGAGGACTGAAATGTGTCCCTCTTTTAGCCATATACGTCAGTGCTTGCACGCGAGCCTGGCGGGGGAACGGGGGGTTGTGGCGAAGCAGTGCAGAAAACACGGAGGAATTCACGGGAGGGAAGGACTGCAGAGCCGTCTGCAGCCTTCACGCGCTGGGGAATTCCTGCGGGATGCGGGGCTGGCACACGCTTCCCACGGCATTGCAGACACTCCACAGGCCTCTAAGCATCCAGCCGTATCCTCCCTCATTAGTTTCCTCTTGAAATCAAAACGCGCCGACGTCTTCCCTCTTTTCCCTGCACAAGTCCCTGTCATTTCATCTCTCCCCCCTGCCCAGAGAGATTTTTCTCGTGCTTAGCATACGTGAAGGAAGAAATTCAGCTCTGCTCGGGGAGCTGGCAATGAGCCCTGGCATCTTTTATCTTCGTTTTGAGGGCTTTGGAGGTACCCTGGGCATTGCTACTGTGTCTGGATACCTTCTGCGCTGGCTGGTCCCCTTGCAATGGGTTCCTGGGATGGCATTTGGGAGTGGGTTGGGATGATCCATGGGGCCTCTTTGCTCCCTTACAGGATGTTAAAAAAGATTTCTGAGGGCTGCCATACGGTATGACAGGAGTTAAGCAGTGGTGCTGACAGTTTCCCAGCTATGGTTTGAGTCTGAACAGGTTAATAGCCCTCCAAAATGCAGCAGGGCAGCCTCGCGTGTCTCAGGTGGATCGTCCTGTAAAACACAGCTCTGAGATGTCCCAGCGAAGGGAATGGTCTTGCCCAGCACGTACTGGCCAGGGTCACGGCAAGGTGGGTTGAACATTGCCCAGAGAGGTTGTGGAGTCTCCTTCTCTGGAGATCTTCCAAACCCGCCTGGATGCCACCCTGTGCCACGTGCTCTAGGTGACCCTGCTGGAGCAGGGGGTTGGACTAGATGATCTTTAGAGGTCCCTTCCAACCTCAGCCACTCTGTGATTCCTCTTCACACATATATATCTTTATTTTTAAAACAGATGAGCCCTGCTATTGCAGCGGCTAGATGAAGACTGAAGACGCTGGAAATATTTTTGGTGGTCATGCTTTCACATGCTTTTCGCATTCCCTTTTCTTGATGTATTACTTTATTTGAGGGAATTTTTGTTATGTGGTATTCAAGCATCTGCCTGTCTCACTGTCAGCCCCTGCCTGCCCTTTCCTTAGCTGCTTTTCCTTGGGTGCTCACAAAATTATCTCCGCTGCTCCACTTCTCTGACCCTCTATCTCTGTAACTGGAACAGCCAGAGGCAATGAGAATTGTGTAACCATCTCCCCACGTCCCAAGTGTTTGGGACAGGTCTGGTTACTTTGATAACACATCTCTGGGGATACCCAGAGTAAATCTGTATTAGATTAGGCCACTTATAAACGGCCACTTATAAATAAACTAGCTGCTTGCTAGGGGAGGAAATTAAAAACTGTTAGTTTTAGTTACCAGATGAGAAGAGTTGTGACACAAATATTTCATCTTTATTTTACAAGTAAGCTCAAGCCATGTAATGATATTTAAATGAATACTAGATTTAAAGCCAGCAATTTAGAACCAGCAAATATATTGTCTATAGCCTAGGACAGTGGAATTGAACTGCCTGGAAAAGGCTTGAAGTGCAGATGTGTGACCAGGTGACAGAGAGCTTACAAGTTACATGTTACCCAACAAAATCACATCTGGGATAGGCATGCAGCCCTTCTGAGGCGTTCTGGAATTCAGTGGCAGATCCAAAATTAAGATATAAAACACATGACAGGCATGTAGGGACATCAAACAAGCTGAAATGCAGTGATGCTCTGATGCCTCCCCTCAAGCCTTCACAGAAGCTGTTCTGAGGCTTGCTCTTGCTGGCAAATCTAAATGATTCCCTTTTGATAAACCCCTTGTTGTCAAATCCAAGGAGTCTCATGAGCAGCACCTCCTGACTTTGTTTCGCGGTGGATTACAGGCTTCTTCTGTTACCCAAAGGCTGTGTGAAGGCTCAGGTTTCCAGCCTCAGATCCTGCTCTTGCTTCAGAAGCAGATTGCACACGCGAGCGGTGCGTGAGTGTCTCGGCTTTCCCTCTCGGCTTCCCGTGCGCTCTCTGAAGATGCTGCTCATAGCGGTTCGCAGGCAAACGCTTCCTCTGGGCAGCTGCCCTTGCAGTGTGATGCAGGCAAATGCTTTCAGCATCGGTGTTCGGGTCGGGACTAACACCCGAAAAGGTGACGGAGGCTCCTCAGCCCCGTTGCTCCATCTCACGCGGTGTTTGGAAACGATGAGACACGGTTCCCATCTGCCTCGATGCAGGTCCGTTGAGTCAATACGATTATTCCTGCATCACAAAGTTTAGCATGTGCATGGGTATTTACTATCATCTGGTTTATGTTCATCCCAGATTTATACCTGATGATTAACAATCAGTCTCATATTTTTACTTCTTAGGGTTATGGGCTGCCACACGAAATCTGCTTGCATCTATGCATATGATTCTTCTCCGAGCATTGCTGTGACCTGTTCTTATCTGTGAGATAATATATACGGACGGGAAGGATTCTTTGAGCAAATATAAATGATTATGTAGGAATGATTGCATGGAAATATATATATGCATGTGTGTGTATATTTATGTGTGTGTGTGTGTGTATACATGTATGTATACATAAATATGTAAAATGCAAGACATGGAGTCACTATTTGCAGTCAGAACTTTATATAAACAAACAAAAAAGAAGCCCCTTTGATGACTGATTCCTTTGCAGAATAATCTGTACCTGTAATGAGAAGCCATCAGTTAAAGGCTGTAGCAAGGAGAAAGGAAGAACACTCCGTAGGTTGCTCCAAAACATTTTCCACTCCAGGAAAAGCCTTGCTAGGCTTTTCTGTACCTTTACTGTATAACAGAGCACGACACATTAGTGAAGAGTCCAGCTAACACCACACAGAACCTCAGGGTCACTAGTGGGAGATTTTGTAGGCAGGATGGAGATGAACACTCACCTGAAACTGCAGTGGAAGTTAATCGAGTTGCACAGTGGATTCTGAGTTGTGGCCATGGCACTAGAGCTATTCTTGAGAAAAACGTCATGAGGCGCTTGTGACCGCAGGTAGGTACGACCTTTGTCATCAGCCACTCATGAGGAAACACGAGCATATCCAAGAGGACATTGTCTGAAATAAGGCAGCGTGTTGGCCTTGGCCGTTGAGTCATCGGTATCACTTCCTGCAGCCCCTGCTTTTGCTCCGGGTATTTCTCAAGGGAACACTGACTTAGCCCAGTCTTTTTGATTCTTCCAGAGTGAATAAGATCACAGCTCAGGAGCGGTAATGATGAGTACACCCTTGATTTAGAGCTCTGTGTGCTCCTTTCAGCGCAAGTGTGCTAAATCTTCCATGAGATGGCTGCCTGATTAGTTTTTATCTTTATACTTTGCGGTCCCAGCCACTTGAAAACTTCAGAGAGAGTCTCTAGATTTAAAATGGAGAATTCTGTTTAACTGGGATAATCTGTTCAAGCGAGGGAACCGTGTTAATGGCTGATGCCTCAGGGTAGCACTGAAAGCCTTTGCATATGGACCTATTTTGCCTTTTATATATTTTAATGTTTAATCACACATTTGTTTAGCCACTTGAAATGCTACATGGAACTTCTCTGGAAGAGACGGATTCTCCGTGTGTTTCAGTGCTAACCACTCAGCTTTTCTGTGTTTGTAAAGCACACCTTGTGGAAAAAAAAAATAAAAAGGAAACTTTCTTTCCTTAAATATTATTGCAAAATATCCTGACGTCAAACAATGAGACACAAATTACTCTGTGAACTGTTAACATATGTGTGTTTACATATGATATCTTATAGCCAAAACAGATTAAGATTTGAAGCTTTAACTGCTGTTGAGTTTCCACTTCTGTGAATCATACAGATCAGCTTATTCATCATCAGACACTTCATTTTTATTCTTTAACTCTTTCAAGCTCTTTCAGTGCAGTGCAGAGTGTGCACAACACGGAGCACATCGGAATAAGGAGGCCACATTGTATAACAAGCCGTAACCTCTGCAAGGGGGAGAGCAGAGAGCTGCCAAGAAACTACAAAGAGCCACCCCAAGGAATCAATGGCATTTGGAACTTCCATCACAAAGTCACCTGAGGGGCACGGCAGCCTTCCTGCTTGCCGAGGCAGTTCTGCCTTCCTGCCCAGCAGAGTGCTAGCTGCAGGTCGAGCTAATGATAAAAAGAAGTCCATCAGATTTCAATTTCAGATGGAAAATTACGTGTGAGCACCCACAATGAGAGCGAACCAGCCAAGGAAGATCAACTAGATGGCTCAAATTCCAGGTCCAGAGAAAGAAATTTCACTCTTCCCACCTGGAGTTCCCTAGATGTCATGACATAAATGAGACTGAGAAAGGCCAAACATTTTAGGGAGCAGAACTTCATGGGTTTCTATAAATACAGGCAATTTTCTCCAGCAGTTGAAAATCTAGGCAGTGCATCCCTGATCTGGATGGGAGTTATTTAAGTACTCTAGCCAGCAGTGCTCAGGTAACTGCATCAAATATTTTTCTTTTTCTGTATAATATGGCCCTAGCCATACTCGGAAAGAGGTATCTCCAATGATAAAAGAAGCCTGTCACCACTACTCAAATGCACATACATCTCCACCTCCCACATAATTATTATTAAAGCGAGGCAGACACTTGCTGCCAAAGCCCGGAGCCGCACAGTTTCGTGCAGCAGGAGACAGACGGGATTTGGGCAGCGTCTGCGGTTGCTGCTCACGTTTCCTTGTGCGTGGTGCCTGGGCCAGGCCAGTAGAGGAAGCAGGTAAAATCCTGTGTTGGGAGGCAAGAATGCCAACATTCAAAAATACCTTTCCACTCACAGAGGAAATAAATGAGCGCTTGGCTGTGTTCTTGTCTTCTAAAGTGTTGTTTCAGATTTGTTTGGTATTTCCCCCAACTGCATCATCTCAACCAGGCAGCTCACCCATTACTTGGGGGTTAGTTAATGCAGAGGGGCTGAGTGACTGCAGCTTCCACTAGGTCCATCGACACTGCTGAGCGTCGAGCCCTCTCTCTTTAACATATGGCAAAGAAAAGTAACTAAGTCACACTTACAATCTCACTTACAGTGTTCCCCTTTGAACATGAGGGTGCTGATGGTATCGGCAGCGTGGCCATCCAAGGCTGTCGGTGCACACACCACACGTGGCAAACCAACCCACGCTGCCACCACTCTGCGGCTACAAATTACTCTAGACACAATTTTGCATTTATTAGGTGATGTGTTATTCGAAGGCACGTTCGAGACTCCTGCATGAATGAGATTTGGGGTGTGACACTGTGGCCAACGGGAACTGTAGACATCTTTGCATCTGAAATCTTGGGAGCCTGATTAACCGCGAAGGATTAAATGAGATCCATGAGAGCAACAGGAACGCACCTCTCAGGAACTGCAGAGATGGTTTAACCAGGGCTTCACACATGTTTCTGTTTCTGTCTGTTCCGCTTCCAACAAAAACCTAAGAGCAGTTTAGGACATTCTGATTTTAGACAAACATTACACCTAAAGCCCTTTCTTCTGATATTTAACTGCATTAGCTCCATGAAAATCAGTGAAGCATCTTCTGCAAAGACCTCAGATTCTATAAAAGGCCCTGATTTTCACACATAAATATATAAAATATATACTGTTCTACACCCCTCCAGGCTCTTTCCAGTATTTCAAATTGAGCTTTTGGGCTTAGCAGGAGCACTCGCGATCACTGTTGCATTTAAAGGTGGACCTTAGGGTTAGACCACATTATAACAATCATCCAGTTAACTACTATGAAATATTTTGAATACAAAAGCTCAATGCAAATAATAATAATTCAGTTCCCGCTTTCTGCTATAAAATTGATTTACAGATTGCTATTCTTCAATTACAAAATGACAACTGCAGTTTGAAGTGGTTTGCACCCCAAGTGCAATTTGGGTTAATAATGGTCTAATAAAGGAAAGCCCTTCTCAAAGACTATCCCAGAGTGAGGATTAGCTAGACCTATGCTACATTTAACACTAAATGTCAGCTTGTAATTTCAGAAAAAAATGACCTCGGAAAATACCATCTACCCCACTAGGGATCCCCAAACCTATTCTTTCTTTCCTCACATATGTCAAAAGATAATTGCCACCTTACCACCAAAGCAGCTCCTTTTACCTATGGCTATTTCTGATTCATATCCCTGGTTCCTTATCTGCTAACATGTCTTTAGATCAATTTAGGTGATAACTACTGCGTGGCACAAAGTTTAAGTCCTTTTGCTGGACCTGTGCCCGAATGCGTGGATATCTGAGGTTTGGATAATTTGAGATTAATTGCCTCTCAGTTCAAGGGGTATGGTTTCTATTTTCTACAAATTAGTTCACTAATACATTATTATGTTTTTTATATATATAATATTATTCATTAATACATTATCATTAATACATTTGTAAATAGGGGTCATATTCTAATACACAATATTAAGGTAAACCTCCCTGGGAACTCCAAGCCCCAAAATCCTTAAATAAAGCTTCTGCATCTCAAAAGCCAAGCATAAGTTATGGCAGATTGATCATAAGAGCATAATGATCATGAGATTGATCATAAGAATATAAGAACGAGGCCAAGATTTTTAAAGGCAAGGGGTAATTCTGTGTGTCCAAAGCAAATCAAGTGCTATTCAAGTTTCTGGAGGTTTGCATTAAAACATGGGAACACTCCCAAGCCAGGTATATACCTGCTGAAAAGGCTGGTCAGGATGCCCTATTCTGAGTACGCCCAGCAGTTCCAGGGAGCCACACAACTATTCATAATCCTGAGCAAAACCCTCAGTATTGAATGCTGGCAGAACTTGCAACTCTAAAATGCTGAGAGGATTAGCACACTGACAAGGAAGGTTAAATGCTGCAAAACACATTTTATTTGTCAAATGCAAGCTTTCAGAGTTTCAGGAAGAAGAAAAAAAAACAACAAAAACAAGTTAAACTGGAATTATACATATTTGGCAGTTTAAAAATGCTTTCAGTTACAGCTGAGACCTTCAACTTTGCCTATAAATGAAACACTTTAAATAACAATCAGTTACACAACCTGCTTACAATCAGCAGCTTATCTCACAAGACCTCTCATAACACATTTTCTCTGTGGCACCAGCGTATCCAGCTGACTTCTACAGCGCTGATCACCTTTGTCTCCTCTGACTGTCAATCGCTCTTTTAAGTGCTTCATCCGGCACAAGATTTGATTTTTTCACATCAGCGTGGCTACAGCCGATTTTAGGGCAGCTGTTAAAAAGACAAGAGAGGCTCCAGTAAATCAGAAGAATTTTATTTGTCAGATACAGGTTTTTACAGAACATCTGCTGCTTTATTGCTTTTAGCCGAGATTCACTCTCTATCAGTTCCTTGTTACCTCTCTTCCTCTTCACAAGCTCTCTGCAGGGAAAAATAAATCTGTTTAGACAAACAGGTGGGACTCAAGAGCTCACAGTGAGAAATGGAGCCCTTGCTTGGCCTCACGCGCACGGGCTGCCTGTGTGGAAATCCTTCTACGTGGCTTTCTCCCTCTGAAGTCCTCTAAAAACTGCAAGTGACTGACTTTATTGATCTGCAGGAGATAAATATAGTATAGATAAATAGGGAAGGTGATTTCTAAGGGAAAAAATAAACCAGGATGAGACCTGCAAAGACCGATTGGTGAATCAGTGGGAGCTCTAGCTGGAGTCAAAATTGGTCAGTCCTCTTATGAGCTGAGAAAGGGCAGAAAGGAGAGACAGGGTCAAATTAGCAGCCTGTAAATGAAGATCAAATACAAAATGGCTTACACCTACTTAAGGCAGTCAGATAAAGACAGATTACCCGAAAGGTGAAAGATATTCAGGGACCATAGGTTATTTTCCTTTGGCAGAGGCCCAAACATGCATAGATGGTACCCACAGCCAGGAATCACACTTTTTCTCCATTTTTCTTCCCTCTTAGAACTAACTTTTGCCTGAGCTGCTGAACTTAAGTCAGCACTCATCGCTTTTATACTGTATTTGCCCACAGCCTGCTGTGTTTGTCATGGGTAAATCACTTGATTGCTCTGCACCTCAATTTTTCCATCTATCACCTTACTAGAACAATGACACAACAGGAGGACGATAATTACGTGCAAGATTAATGAATAACAAGCGCTCAGAGAGCCTCCCATAAAACTTCTCCTGCAAGCAGAAAGCACTAGCGTGCTCTTCCAGGCAGAGGAAAGCAGTGGGCAATCCGAGATAAGCAGGAATTGCCTCAAGGGATCTCTTAGTAAGTCCATCCGCGTGAATGGCTGCCCGTGTGGAGGGCGGCTGCTGAGGAGCGGATAGTGACAGGACAAGGGGTAACGGGTGTAAGTTGAAACACAGGAAGTTCCATCTCCATGTGAGGAAGAACCTCTTTCCTGTGAGGGTGACAGAGCCCTGAACAGGCTGCCCAGAGAGGTTGTGGAGTCTCCTTCTCTGGAGATCTTCCAAACCCACCTGGATGCCACCCTGTGCCACGTGCTCTAGGTGTCCCTGTTGGAGCAGGGGGTTGGACTAGATGATCTCTAGAGGTCCTTTCCAACCCCAACCATCCTGTAACTCTGTGATACTGGGCCAGCAGGCTGCCAAGTGCACCGGAGAGATCCAGTGGATACAAGGAAAGCTGCTCATAGGCACGCTGGTGTGAGCAAACAGCAGCTTCTGTCACTCCTCCACGCGCAAGGGGGGCGATTCCAGGGAAAGGGCAGAGGGGATTCCGCTCCCAGGAGCTTTCACTCAGCTCACAGTAGCCGGAAGGCCGCCCCATGGCGACACAGAATCCCAGAATGGTTAAGGTTGGAAAGGACCTCTAGAGATCATCTAGTCCAACCCCCTGCTCCAGCAGGGACACCGAGAGCACGTGGCACAGGGTGGCATCCAGGTGGATTTGGAAGATCTCCAGAGAAGGAGACTCCACAACCTCTCTGGGCAGCCTGTTCCAGGGCTCTGTCACCCTCACAGGAAAGAGGTTCTTCCTCACATGGAGGTGGAACTTCCTGTGAAACGAGCAGAAGAGTTTGCTCAAAGGAGGAACTTGGTGCGTGCGCTGGCCTGACTCCTTACCACGGCCATGGTTTTTCAAAGTCTGACTGGGTTTTCAGGCAAAAGGCTAAAATTAGAGCTGGTCAGTGAGATTTTCCAGAGAAAAGTCAAGCAATCTGTCTTAATTTAGAGTTATTGCTGTGCCTGCTCTTTTCTGCCACACTGGAATAAACTACTGTAAAATGCTAAGGCTGCAACCTGGAAGCTCAAAATTAAGAGCTGCAAGGACTCAGACTGCACAAATAAACTTCAGTTTGGGCACAGTGTAGCTTTTGGAGATGGATTTTATACAGCTTTCATGGCTCTTTCCTCTATGTTTTCACTAAGTAATTTCTTTAATTTCTTCACGAGTGAAATAAATTCAGTTACCTGATCCTATGAATTTATTAGCAGTGGTCAAACTTTTGATCCACCACAACAATATTTAATACTACGACACCTCTGAAATGGATTTAGCATCAGAAAGAATGATTTAAATATGGATAGCCTGAATCCAGTTCTTGACTCCAGAATGCATGTTGGGCAGTAGTGTTAGGCTGTTACACACCGGCTCCCTAGCTTGTCCATGACCTGTGAGTTTCCAACACAATCCGCAACTATGAAGAGCTTGTTTATGTGGGGGGAATAAACAAATGTGAAATTGGTAATAGCAGTGCTGAGGACATAACACTTCCCCTAATCTTGCTCTAAGAAGAGCATGAGCCCTTTTTTATTATTATTTATTATTATTTTTTTATTTTCTGAGGGGAAAATCAAAACCATCCCAAATTGGAAACTTACCAGGGAGAATGTTCAGGTGTAATAATTGAACTTTCACATACTTTCAATTAACAAAATATGTCCTAAGTAGAAAGTGGCAGGCTGCTTTTGTATTGTAAAGTAAGAATTATTTTACTGCTTTATAGGAGAAACTACACAACCCTGTCAATTAATTAAAACTCTGTGCTACTTAAAGATTATCATTGCTTTTAATATTTTTCATTTCCAATTGTATTGGAATAGAATTGCAGAGGACAGTGCACACACTAGAGATGTTTTTTTCATTAACTTTAAGGCTTGCTAAATACACAGTGGGAACAAAAGGAGCAACTAAAGTTTACAAAGCTCAAGTTCCTCTCTGTTGTTCATGGCTACATAAAATCTCTTTGATTCTGTTGTGCAGACACCATGAATAGCTGTGACTTCCCCCACGCTTCCTGAATATATCCTTGCACATTGTTTTCATAAAAAAAAAAAAGAAAAAAAAAGAAAGAAAAAGATTCTTCATGGGCAGAGCACTAATAGGAAGCCTGTGACTTGGGCAGACACTGAAGTATTACTTCCTGCAGCCCTGCCAATCCAAACACATTTCCTAGAACAAGTGGAATAGAATTCCACTTACACAGCAAAGCAAAGAGCTTTTCCACACATTCTTGTTAACTTACCAAACTTTCTTCTTTTGCTGATTTCGAGTCTGGATGATTTTGAGAATGGCCTCTTCTTCATAAGTATGGCCACAGACTTTGTTTCGAACTGGCTTCTTCATTTCCATCTGTAATAAGGTTTTAATTAAATGAACTGATAATGCCTATGAAAACGCTTCATATGAGATTTTTACAGAAAGAAGCAGGACGACTGTCTGCCACTCATGCTTTGCCATCTGAATTGTGGGTTCAGGTCTAGCATGGTAAACTGCATGCAGGTTTGATTTGTTCTTAGGCAACACTGCTTCTTTCTAATGATGACTGAAACTTACAGTGCCTGATCTTTAATAAGAACTGCAGATTTCTAATAAAAAATCTAGTGAGGAATAACAAATAAGGATTTCCCAATCTATTACAGCAGCAAGGAGAGCATACCTGGGTAATGGGACAGATAAAGTTCACCTGACTCTGAGTCACAGCTATGTCTTCATCGATTTGTTCAATGCTTTCATTACCATCACCCGACTGAAGACGAACTATAATGGAAAACAAAACAAATTTCATTCACTGTGCAATATATATAGTCAATAACCAATTAAGCAAATAAAATCCAACATCTGCCAAACATTTTCTCATGGTGATGCTAAGATGCCCCAATATATTTCTGTACCACTCCCTTAAAAAGAGATTGCAAAAAATACCATAATGTGGTTTCTGTTTGAAATGTGTATTTTTAAAAGGCAACCTCTTTTTGCAGGGGGAGGGGAGCTAATACCAGCCTATACTAGAAAGGAATGGAAGAAAAGCAAGCAAGCTGGCCAGCATACATGCAGAGTCTTTGGTTTTTCTTGTTCAAGTTCACCCAAAAAAACCCCAGTTTTGGCCGACCTGTCCTCAAGATCAGTTTGTGTTTGAGCATCACAAATGGACTCACTATATAGCCTGTATAAATACACAGTATATATTTTTAGAGGAATCAGTATTATTTACCATAATGCATCACTAAGTCATGCCACTGTATTTTAACAAGACTTTAATTAGTGAAATCGACTTGAGAACAAAAGCCAAGAACGTGTCATTTGAGAGACACAATAGAAACGTTTTTGAAATGGCCTCATGCAGGAAGGGCAGAACGAAATACTCCCATCTCTCAGCACACACTTGCTGGCTGCATGCCAGGGAATGCCCTGACCTAGAGCAGATAACAAGTCCTTACCTTGAACAGGATCAGAAGGAAAAGAACCCACGGGCACACCATGAAGAAACTAATTAGTCCTGCATTGGAGCGGTTAAGGAGGATACTTACTGCTAAGTATAACCTTAATAGAGGTGCACATCCTGTTTCATCTTTTGCTTTTTTTCTGTCATTGTGAATGTAGGCTTTTAGTTGAATCTTACTTTGTGATAACCTGAGGCTAAACACCTGCCATAACCTTCCATTGCTCTGGGGTAATTCTGCAATGTTTTTGCAGCACCCAGTACCCTGGAGCACATTCTTCAAAGGATCCCAAACGCAACAAAATATTTCGCTCTCCGACTTTCCAGGCCAGTTTCCAAGGTAGCAACACAGGAATTGAAGAGGATGGAATCATTCATTGGCCAACATTAGCTCCAGTAGCCAACAGGGTACTGAGCAGCACATTTGAACACTGAGGATTTAGAACTACTACATGATTTGCCTTCTTTAAAGGGCCCGTTTTGGCCACCTTTGCTGCAGCTGCTGTTGGATGTTGTCAGCTGGGCTCTGCCTCTCCACATCCCTGTTACTTGGTCTCTGCTTTTGTTAAGGAGCAGCATTCCCAACCTGCGTGCCCCGCAGTGCCATCAGCGCCGTTCCCTCTCGGTGCAGTCGCAGCCCGCCTCACGCGCCGCCCCGCTCCGCGCGCGCTGCCCCATTGCAGCACGGCGCTGCTTGAGGCTCTCCCGGCCTCCCTCTTCCAGCCCTCCTTCCACCAGGCCTCTCTGGGCATGCCGACCTTCCACCCTAACAGAGCCTGCTCTTCTCCATTTTAACATAAAAGAGTTTTTGGAGCATTCAGGATGATTCTGCCCCTAGCTATAGATACTACCTACAGACACTTACTCAAGCACAAGCATCAAGGGTGTTTCTAGCAGACACCTTAGCTAAGAAGGCCTCACTCAACAGAGTATGGGACACGGTCAAGGGAAGAGGGGCTCAAATATCAAGGTTCAACCATAATTTTATGGCTTTTAACCAACAAGAATATTTTCCTTCCTTTACCCTCCAACAAAAGTAAACACTTGCAAATCAGAAGGAAAGTGGGCACAATTTAGTAATAAATACTGGAACAGCGATGGCACAGAGAACTGAGAAAGATCTGCATCTGTTACCAGACTTCAGAAAGGAAAACCTGCCACATATTATTCTTGGATTGCTCACATGTAATGTTTACTCTGTCATAACGAATTTTTACAATTCTTTTGTGCAGAACTGGAGTTTTTAAATGAAGCTTTTGCAATACAAAGCAATGGGTGAAATCCCATTTAGACAACAACGCTAAAGAATATCCCAAGTACTGGTAAGTGCAAGCTTCCAGATGGGCCGATGTATTTAAATACCATATTGATTTTTTTTTCAGTAAGTGATGCCAACAAAAAGCAAGAGATTGTGATTTTCCTTAAATCCATGTATCTGCAATTTCTGGCATACTGTGGCTCTAGTATCTCCTTTTGACAATAACTGGAACCTTACATTTTTGTATCCTTTGTACCTCGTTCTAATTCATGAACCTGGCATGTTCTTTCAGTGCCCCAGTGCCTTATGTCTGGCAATGAAGTCAAAACAGAGCCGTGCTATGAGATCTAGGCTGGATGACTGATTACAGAGGATCATTTTTATGTCAGCAATAATTAGATACCGAAGAAGTGGGGTAAAGTTTTAAAATACGCAGTTTATACCTGTGTTTTTACTTGTAAATCTAAGCACTCCAAGTTAGTCGTATTAAGGGCCTCTCTTGCAAGAGTGTCTACCTCACTAAGGACCTTCTGATTTCACTAAGGAGTCACCACTTCATTCATCACTTCAGGATGTTTTTACTTAGGCAAAAATGTAAGGATTTAGGAACATTGAAACGTCCAAGTTTGAAAATAGTGGGATTAGGGCTTGATTCCCCCTCCAAAATGTCTCAGATCTCTAAACTATTGGGGATAAATCATAGTGTGGGGCTACTTTTCCCTTTTACCATGGAGGTGATTCAGGCACCTGTTTAGATGGTTGACAGTACGTGAGTTCAGACCCATTCCTTCTAGGTGAGACATATGAATTTGCATGAATTTGCATATGAATTTGCTCTGTTGGTGCAAGCTTGTTTCAAGTGCTTCATGTTGACCTTAATTTGCAATAAATTTGCATGCAATCTACCAGAGTGGGGGCCTGGTTTCAAGGGATTATCATGGCACCATTATTTGAAATATTTCCTTTTCATAAGCAGCAAATAGTTTTAATGATTCATGTGCAAGACTGGGGTGTTGTAAGTGATGCCTCTAACATGTCAATACCAAATCAGCGTAAATGACATAAAACACTCACAGATTTGTTGTTATTTCTTGATGTTCTAGATTACAGGAGGAGAGAGGAAAATAACTTTTTAAGTTACTGTAAATTTTGCAGAGATTACACTGGAGGAATAGGCACACGCACTCCCTGACCTGGTCAACAGGGCAGATGCTCTGAACTATAGATCGATGCCTAGAGGTTACTGTCAGAAGAGGTCAAATGGCTTATTTACCAAATGAACTTTATAAAAGTTTGGATGATCTAACTTGTAAGTCTAACGAATCTACATGAAGAAGAAATAAAAATGCCAGCTCATACCTGTTTCAGCTAGGTCAGGTTACACTTTTCTAGAACAGGTTTTCTTTGCAAATTAAGACGACACAAAGAAAACACTTGAGTTACTGTTGCTTAAATTCCAATGTTACCTTAAGTAAAAGAAATGCATACATCTATTTTGGTATTTTAAGGTACTATATTTTAAGAGTCTTATGCTGAAGATGCAAACCTGGAAGAAGTGGACGACAGACCAGGGTGCTCCGCTGCCATTCAGAGGGACTTGGACAAGCTGGAGAGCTGGGCAGAAAGGAACATCATGAAGCTCAAGAGAGGCAAGTGCAGGGTCCTGCACCTGGGGAGGAATAACCCCAGACACCAGTACAGGTTAGGGGTTGACCTGCTGGAAAGCCGCTCCAAGAAGAAGGATTTGGGAGTCCTGGTTGACAAGTTAACCATGAGGCAGCAATGTGCCCTCGTGGCCAAGAAGGCCAATGGGATCCTGGCTGCCTCAGGAGGATGTTGCCAGCAGGTGGAGGGAGGGGATCCTGCCCCTCTGCTCAGCTCTGGTGAGGCCGCACCTGGAGTATTGGGGGCAGTTCTGGGCTCCCCATGACAAGAGGGATATGGAGCTTCTAGAGAGCGAAGGGTCCAGCAAAGGGTCACTAAAATGGTTAGGGGACAGAAGCATCTCTCATACGGAGAGGCTGAGAGAGCTGCATCTCTTCATCTTGGAGAAGACTGAGGAGGAGATCGTATCAATGTGCACAAGTATCTGAAGGAAGGTTGTCAAAACGATAGGGCCAGACTCTTCTCGGTGGTGGCCAGCGATAGGACAAGAGGCAACGAGCACAAACTGAAAGACAGGAAGCTCCATCTGAACACATGGAAAAACATCTTTACTGTGAGGCTGACGGAGCACCATAACAGGCTGCCCGGGGAGGTTGTGGAGTCTCCTGTCTTGCCGTTTGGGCACAGTCCTGTGCTCTAGGTGACTCTGCCTGAGCACTGGGCTCGGACTAGATGGTCTCCAGAGCTCCCTTCCAACCTCAATCATTCTGTGATTTTGTGAGCCTTAAGTGATCCTAGTTTTCCACCCAGCCTCACAACTAAAATCTGTTATGAGTATGAGTATTAGTATTAGTAACACATTCTTTATCTGGCTATCTCAGCAAGGATGTGTATAGCTAATGAGGACCCACTCCTGCACTAAAACTGCATTCTCACAGAGGTATCTATTTTTGGTAACACATCATAATGAATTTTGCAACTGCCAACTGTTTTGGACTTATTCAATTTTAATTAAAAGCTGGTAGTACTTTATATCTCTATCACTTTCATCTCCTGATAAAAAAGTGACTAACATACCCTAGCGAAGTTTTTTACCAGGTCTGCTGAGAGACTGGGAAGTGTTAAGCCAACTTTTAAAAATGAGAAATCCACAGTACAGAGACATTAACTGCTGCACTAGAGCTCTATTAAGCACTGATAATATACTTATTCAAAAATAAAGGAAAGATCCTCTCTGTTGTCATTCTCATTACTGGGACAGATGCAATGCAGTCTGCTTACTACTTGCATTGGCAAAAGCATCCTATACCCCACTCCTGTTTCTATAAGGTGAAATTTGGCCTTACTTGGCCTTGTGTATGTACCTGCTGCGATGTCAGCTTCATGGATTTCATTCCTTTTGTGCTGCACTGCTCTGCCTCCTCACCTGCTACCAGCCAGATACTGATCCCTGAA